ATATTTCTCTAGATTTTTACATCCCAGAGAGCTGAATACATATAACTATAGATTCTCGACATCCCAGAGAGCTGAGTACATATTTCTCTAGATTCTCCACATCCCAGAGAGCTGAGCACATATTTCTCTAGATTCTTACGTCCCAGAGAGCTGAGTACATATTTCTCTAGATTCTTACATCCCAGAGAGCTGAGTACATATTTCTATAGATTCTCCATATCCCAAAGAGCTGAGTACACATTTCTCTAGTTTCTCAACATCACAGTGAGCTGAGTACATATTTCTCTAGATTCTTACATCCCAGAGAGCTGAGTACATATTTCTCTAGATTCTTACATCCCAGAGAGCTGAGTACCGGTACATATTTCTCTAGATTCTTACATCCCAGAGAGCTGAATGCATATTTCTCTAGATTCTTGACATCACAGAGAGCTGAGTACCGGTACATATTTCTCTAGATTCTCCACATCCCAGAGAGCTGAGTACATATTTCTCTAGATTCTTACATTCCAGAGAGATGAGTACATATTTCTCTAGATTCTTAGATCCCAGAGAGCTGAGTACATATTTCTATAGATTCTTACATCACAGAGAGCTGAATGCATATTTCTCTAGATTCTTACATCCCAGAGAGCTGAATACCGGTGCATATTTCTCTAGATTCTTACATCCCAGCGAGCTGAGTACATATTTCTCCAGATTCTTACATTCCAGAGAGCTGAGTACATATTTCTCCATATCCCAGAGAGTTGAAATGTCGCACACATCTTTTTCTTTTTAATAATGATGTTTCTTAATTAAATAAATGTGTGTCACTTTTTAATGTTATGTTATTTTTAGCCAATATTTTTATGTAAAGCACGGTGAGCCTATCCCTAGGCTGGGGTACCGCTATAAAAGACCTTTCTAATAATAATAAAAAAAATAATAATAGCCTTTCTGTTCATATTTTGATACATTATATTAAATTATGACGATGTTCACTTCTCTAAATTTTCTATTTAGAAAATGTCCCAAACACAGACAATGAGAATTTCTTAAATACAAATCACCAAAAATATGTTTAAACAATTCTGGAACTATTCTCAAACACAGACCCTTAGATTCTTCATTTCCTACTATCTGGATCTTACATTATTGAATTTTTAAACCCAACATTCTACACCTGTTACTTTCTGAAACCTAAATTCTTAACTTTTCAAAACCAACTTTCTTCACCTGCTACTTTCTGAAACCTACATTCTTTTAACTTTTCAAAACCAACATTTCTCACCTGCTACTTTCTGAAACCTACATTCTTCGTTTGCAACTTTCATACACACGTTTTCTCACAAATTTTTTTACCATTATATTAAATGAAAAAAATTCTTAGAATTGTGTGGAGTGTCAGGTTGCTATAACTTTTCGAAGACCGACACAAGACATATGTCTCAATGTCTTGTAGTCTGCTGCATTGATTATGACAAAACTGAAAAAAGTAATTAGCTTTTGACCCTTCAAAAATGTCAGGTTGAATTATTAAAAGATATCACTGCTGAGTCTAGCGATTACTGCTTTTGCTACTATGCATACTTGTTGTGGATGATGTAATACACTTGCACAATTACGCCCTGGTACTCCTTCTGAGCTTCTGAGCTGACAGCCATGAATCACAAATCACAATAGTCCTGAGTATTAGATGTCAAATAACGGATTCTTTTATTATCTGAGAAATCACAGACCAAAATCCGCACTATCAAAAGCCAGCAGTAATCCTTTTCAAAGAACTAGAATCACATAATAAAATCCTTATTAACAACAGGCACTAAATAATACTTTCGAAGGAATCCCTTATAACTCACTACTCCATGTACCCATCACACTACATGCCTCGCTCCTGACACACTATAATATCCACCCTCCCGCCCATCATCAATGACAGTCTCACGCATGGTTTTAATTTACTGTAGTGTATTTGTATGGTGAACGAACGGACAGGACATGAGCTAAGTTACTTTCTCTTTATTTTCTCTTTACTTTAATACATTTTTTGTCTATTTTTGTCTAAAAATTTTGTATCCAATCAATCCGGGGGGGGGGGCAAGTGCCCCACCTTGCCCCTACCTGCGGGCGCCCATGGTCTCACGCCTTGTTCAGGGGGCAAGTGCCCCCCCTTGCCCCTACCTGCGGGCGCCCATGGTCTCCCGCCTTTTTCACTCACACTCGCCCTCCTTCTGGTGAACACAACTTCCCCTAGCCCCCCCCCCCCCCACATAACAACAGTGATTCTCATACCCTTGACAATCACACTAATGTTTATATACATCCTATGTACTGGTAATTGCTAAAAATTATTGATAACTTACACACTGTACAAAAATCAAAGTTATTGCAATAGAATTATAAGGATTTAGAAAATATAGACATATTAAAAATAACAAGTTAAAATAACAATTAACAAGTTTTAAATTAAAAAAAAAAATACAATGATATACAATAAATCAAAAATATCCCTTTCTATCATTTACATAGAACAGACATTAAAATATTTCAAGGAAACATTGTAACCTTATAATGTTACTTGGTAGGCTTTTAAAAACTAGAAGATACCCTTCAATAACAAAAAATATCTTTTAAAATGTAAATTTAAATTCCACTGCTAACCAAAGAACTAATAGCCGTCCAATAATTGGCAAACAACCTGCTGAATCCAGATTGTACCATATGAAGAAATAGAATTAAATTTTTTATCAAAAGACAAATCTTTGCAAGCTAGGTATGATGTATATACAACATAATCTGATAAGAAAAACCTCTCAGCTGAAAGTGATTATACACTTGATATCATATCAAATTTTTTCCATGCAGAAAATATGTTACATAAAATCACTTCTTTCACAAACAATTGTAAAATTTGTTTAAAATGGACTTGCATTCTTCTGACATGTTGCAGTTGAATGGTTAGTGGCTCTAAAGCTTGACCTCTTAAATATGACTCTCAAAAGGCCCTGAAACAAGAACTTTTTAAATAACTCATTCCTAACGCCTTAAAAAGTATTTAGATAGTTTTCATTGCCAATTTGCAGAGTTTACTGCAAAACTTGACTGATGCAATTACTTTGTTCCGGATAAGAGTTCTTTTTTTAACTTTGCTCTCCAATGAAAACAATAATGGATACAAAAATTATTTCATTGCTCTACACACAGTCTAATTCCAGGGCACTGTCTTATAAAAATTTGTTAGGGACTGTCTGTATAGGGTTTTGTTAAAATAAAGGATTGTCTATTTAAGGATGACTCTAGTTTTACATTTACAATCAAATTATCTTATCCAGTGGCTGGCACTTTCATATCAAGATATGATATGTATCAAGAAGGCCGCAGACTAATAGTTTTTTTAAATACAGATTCTCAAACTGAGCACATATGTCTCTACTATTTCCGTATGGGCAGACGTGGCTAAATACACTTTCCGTGTCTGGAGAAGTAGTTGAAATCAAGCAGAAAAGTTGCTCCTAGTATAACCACTTTATCTTCTTTGGTCAGACCTTCAAAATCTTTAGAAGACAAAAGAAACCAATAACTTATTATAACAGAAACATGTACGCAAGTGTCTGAAAAATCTTACGGTTAAATGTTTACATAGTTTAATTTTGACAATCTTCCTGTTTCTTGCTACTTTAGACAAAATGTTAACCAAATTTTGACAATGTTTCCGTTTCTTTCTACTTTAGCCAAAAGGTTACCGCAACACAAATGTTTCTGTAACAATGATACATTTTCTTTTGACTCATTCGATTCATTATATAAAAAGAAAACAATAGGCCTCATTGCATTTAAATTAAATTAAATATATAAAAACATATCCTATTAGAATTGTAGAATCCTGGTCAGTTTTTTCCCTGTGTAGGACCTACATTTTAAAATGAAAGTTTTACATATTCCAAAAAGGAGTAATTTTTTTAAGCCATAAACTAATGCCAAAAACAATGTGGCAGAAGTTTTAAAAGTATGTTAGAATAAGTAAAAGCTGTACTCAGTACTATAATGTAGCTTTCATTAACCCTTTGGTTATCCATGACGTCTACGCGATGTCAGGATCACCCACTTTCAATTACCAAGGACGTCACATTGCCCTCATTTCAAAGAGGCAAAGAACTTTTCTGAAATACTAAGGACGTCAAGTCGATGTCATATTTCAATGCTATATATTTCTTTATTCGTTAATCTATAGAGAAGCGAATCGAATAGAGAATGAAAAATACCGGAATTTTCTTCTTCTTTTTTTATTATATATATATATTTATTTTTTTATTTATTTTTTTTTTTTTAAAATGTATGTTTTTATTGCTGAGTCAGCAAAAATCGATTTTTTTTTTTTTTTTTTTTTTTTTTTTTTAAAATTTTTTTTTTTTTGTTGGGACACAAAAAAAACCTGGCCCCCCCCCCCCCCCCCCATCCAGCCGTAATAACAGGGTTAAAAAAAAAACAAACAAATGTTTGTTTATTTGAAGGCAGTTGTTATTTCAAGGAGACTGCCAAAGACAAGCTGGGGCTGGAACAAGCTTCCAAAAGTTGAGGAACAGTTGAGGCAACAACACTGGACAAACTTATGTCTATTGCCTTATGCCTTCCAAACCCCAGTTCTTAATACCATCGCTGAGTGGCTCTTGCAACCAGTGGAAATATTCTCTTCAAAACCATGCACAGAAAAATTGCGAACCCCCTCTACAAACATAGGGGCCAGAATGATCAACACATTGATCGTGGGCCCTCATAATATAGAAGAGAAGTAGAAAAATATAAAGAACTGTATGTATATTCTTTCATGCTAGGTCTGGTCAAATTTTGTATACAACATATAAAAATTCAGTTCATGAATTCACTTAACATTAACATAAAAAAAAAAACAACAAAGAATGTGAAATCTACTTATTGTCTGCAGTGTGCGTCAGAGAGATGCAGACAACATGTTCTAACTTTAAAACAGTTTTTGTAATACTGTTAAATAACTTACAAGTGATAGTGAATTCATTGCAAGCTCCAATAAATTCTTTCCAACCACCCCACTGTGTAGTGATAGATGCAACTTCAAACCCTTTCAGACTCTTCACCTATAATGATGAAAAAACGTCTGATGAGTAAGCATAATGTTGACATCCTACATACTTCATACTATTAACAAAATAATAAGAATAGATTAAGATCTACCATTGTTTTATAGATATATTTCATAGACATATTTAAATACATACATAAAATGATAACTTATTAATAAAGTAACTTACACTTACATGATATGACACAAATTTTCATCTCTCACTAAAATGAAATATTCTACGGAGATTTAAAGATACACTTGCATCACACAATGCTTCCAGATACAAAGAGACGTGTGATAAGCTATACTATCACAATTCAGGCTTAGTTTAAATATCCTGGTGCTAAGATCATACTCACAGTAAAGGTAATGTTACAGCAACAACGGCAATGACACAATGTTCCGTGTAAGGTAAACTTGATATTCCCTAATGAATCTTCAACTTGATATTCAGGCAAACAACAAGTCCACCTATTGTAAAAAGCCATTGTTATTTAAAATGATAGAAAAAAATGTTTTATAAGATCCTTCATAAATCCTAGGTCAAGCTGGCTCTTTAAAAACACAAGAAATAATAAATGATAGATAAATAATGTGTTAAATTAATAATTTTTCAACAGGGCATGATGTATTAAGCTGATCATACATTTTTTGTAGTTAATTAAACTACAAATGAACATATTTAAAACCAACACAATATTTTTATACAGCCATCATATGATGTTTAGAATTTGATATCTTGATTAAAACAATAACACTTGAACACTCAAAATAAGCCTTTGCTTATCTCTCCAACCCTAGAAACATGTATCAACACATTGCTGTGCCAGTACCTCTCACTAACTACTGCCAACTTATCATCACTTTCATCGGATGTGCTAACAGCCATTGTCTGGAGGCAGCAGCATGCGTAAAAGCACCTTGAAGAACAACGTAGGGGGCGCTGGAGAAAAAGAAGTCGGTTGTCATCATTATCTGTTACAACCAGAGTCAACTCTCTGAGAGAACCAAAGCACTGGCGGGCAACACATTGAGCAGCTGAAAATAACAACAGAGCTCAATTATTTAATACCTTAAATAAAAATAATACTTGCTTTAATGCAGTATGATATGATTTCTGCACCTATCTTTATTCCATTGTCTGACTTTTTTTAGTACGTGCATAAAAAATCAATGCTTTGACTTTATCTAAATGTAATAATTGAGCTATCGATCATAGCTTAGAATTAACTGAACAAGTTAAGTTTATTAAATGTATTAAAATTGCAATTAATCAACTATTTCAACCACTTTTAATTCTCAATGGAAGGACAGCATCAACACTGTAAGCAGTTAGAGGGCAGACTAATTTTTAGCTCTGTTATCTTTCGGGCATTATTTTTAATCATCAAGAATGTTAGATTGCCAACTGCTAGCAAAGACAAAAGTGACTCCTCTCAATTGGGGCAACCATACATTCCAGATTCAAATCATCAAAGTTTAAAATTGTAAGCAAAGGGCCATGATAATTAACAGGATGAAGGCAGATAATACACAATAGTATTATGAAGTAAAACTTTTCATTAAATTTGTTGAAAAACTGAAACCGATCAAACAAAAAAAATATCTGTTGATAATAAGTATCATTTAAACCAGTATTGAATGTTTAAAAAATTTTAATTTGAAGAAAAAAGAAAGCAGTGCAATAAGACAGATAAGCTAAAGAAAGCCATGCAATAAGACAGATAAGCTATGTGTTTTACCTTCATATGTATACAAAATCTGCTCGCCGTTCTTGTTGTACAGACTGTACCTATTGTTTCGCTCCCATCCAAGGCAAACTGAAATTTATCAAAGCAGTTATCTCTCAGACAACTTTTTATGCTCTAAATTTATCATTGTTGGTTATAGAGTCTCTGAAAACATTAACTTGCTGTATATCAAGAGCCTATTGCTGAAGATATCACAAAGAAGAGATGGAGGTGGATAGGGCAGACTCTTCGTAAATCTCCAAGACAAATCACCAGACAATCTCTTTCATGGAACCAATAGGGAAAAAGAAAGAGAGGAAAGCCAAAGAATACATGGAGATGCAAGCTAGAGTAAGACACACTAAGTATGGGATAAACCTGAAAGCAATTGGAAGGGTAAGCACATGAATCAGATGAATGAAAATCACACAAAGACAACCTATGCCTCAAGCGGGGTAAAAGGCATGATTAAGTAAGAGTAAAGTAAGGTTATTGTTGGTCTTTAAAAGACCCTCATAAATGAACTCTCAGCAATTCCTAAATTGGTGATCAAACGTGATAGCTCACTAAATAAAAACATGAAAATCACATCATGAAGAAGACAAAAATCTGAGGGTCATAAAAACATTCAGGTCAATGCCTTTTATTTGAATTTAACTAGAGACCAATGTCTTTGCCCTATCTTGTTGAAATTGGCCCATCAGAGAAAATAGTTAAATTCTGTTTATTTAAAAATATTCCAATAATCTATAATAAAAAAAAAAATTAAAAATGCAAAAAAAAAAAATAATAATTAGTGTTAAGATTTTAGTGAGGATTTTCTAATTCTTCTAGCTACCTTCAACTACATCAAGATGCTGAAGAATTTTGATTTCATCAATGGAATCCAAAATAGATGCAAGACGTGGAAACTCATCAGCATCCCACTGTGATTCTTGTAGATAGTTGACACTACTATTACTGTTATTATTATCCTGTTTCTGTGACAGACCATTTATTTGAGATTCTTGAGAAATTATTGCTTCTGTTGGCAATTGGTTTTTGCTGGTAGTCCATTTTTCCATTCCTGGTGCTTATCATCCTTTACTGGCTTTGGTAGATGATAGATGGAAATTAAATTTTTTTTTAAAATAAACAAAATGAACTGAAATTATTTTGTTAAAAGATTAAAATAGTTATTGTAAGTTATACCAATAGTCATATCTATATAGATAACTAATAATTTATAAGTTAAAGTGTGTTTCCAAATAAATTTACAAAATTTAATTAAGTTAAGAAAAAAAACGTCTTTATACTGGACAGTTAGAATAATATATTATATATATTATATATTCAATTTAGTGGACATTATTAGGACCCTATTATTTCTTAACAATAAATTGGTGGTAAATTTCAGGCCTTCTTTTGCCTATAGCCTATAGTTGATTATTGTAGGCCTATTGTCATCAGCATATATCGGTACTTACTCAGTTAGTGTATTGATTGGATTGCATATAGTTAACAGGGCTAGATTATATAATAAATACTGCAACATATTTTTATGTATGAGGATTTCAATGTACAAATTCAATGTCAATTTTATTTTTTTTAATATTTAAAATTATAGCATTGATGTCATTCAAGAAAAGCATCAGTCCACATTGCTGAGAATATCAGACTCAAAGCTAGTAGCAGGCCCTAGCTGACTAACTACTAGGGCTATTACTAGTAGTACTACTACAGTCTACAATAGGGTGACCAAATCATGAACTGGAAAAAACGGGACATACCCAAAGAGGGTTGTTTGGGGGGGGGATACCCACCAGCTAAAGAGGGGTCCGGGGGCCTCCGCCGAAAACTGTTTATTGAAATATACTCATCTTAAATATTTTGAGACCTAGAAATCTTTTTAAATTTACCTTCACTTTTGTAATTTGATTTAAACTCTGAATCATATCATAAACAAAAACAATAATTTTGCAGTGAATACTTATTTATTTATACATATTTGACAACATAATATAACACAACAAATTTAATTTCTCTAAATTCTAGTCTAGGATTTAAATTGAGGATATTTGGCTGATCTCCCAGCCATTGTTAAAACCTCCTTCTTATGAAATATTAAGGTGACAAAACTAGAACAGTCCATTTCGAAATTGTAGAGAACCTGCAGGATTGCAGAAGTTTCTTTCTGTCCATCCATTGAATTTGAATGTTCATGGTCATGAGCGAAAAGATTCTTTCAGCATTACCATTATGGGCAGGGATTGCAGTGTCGGCAGAGTGGTGGAGGGGAACAATGCAGCCATCACGCGAGCCCACATCACTATTGGCACTAGCTAAAGAGCTAGCCAAAATATAACTTGAACTTATAATATAAATTAGGAAGTTTTAGTGATTTTAAAATGTGTTTGGTTTTAGAAATGGGACATTTAGGCGCCCTGAGCCTGAGAGACTTTTTCAGGACACTGGGTACGATCTTGAAAAAACGGGACAATCCCATTTTTACGGGACAATCCCATTTTTGCGGGACGTTTGGTCACCCAAGTCTACAGTGACTCAGTGACTACTACACTTACAATACAACTTAATAACTTATTATAAATAATTATAATTAATATAAGTAAAAGTTAAGTACGAAGTCTGTACCGCCCTGTAGTTGTAGTTTAGACTTGCAACTTGAATTTCTAGAATAAACTAAAACTAAGATACAGATAATGATAATAAATTAATACTAATTTATAATACAGTAGGCATATCTATCAGTTCAGGGTTTATAGTGTATAGTATAAATAATAAATGTTAATAATTTATTAAAATTAATCCTTGGACTTAGACTTAATAAAATAAGTTAGTCTTGTCTTAAATTTTAAAATACTTACTTAATACTGGTCAACTTACGCCTTTTAGACTTTAGAAGTTTAGTTTAGTGTCACTAATACTAAGAGGCTAATTTAGTCTTATTAATTTCCAGGCTCTAACTCTAATTTACAAGCAATTAGGTATGATATTACTAATATTTAATATTAGTATTACAATTTCAATTACTATTACATTATTATTATTATTACACTGCACTCTCATTACAGTATTACAGTTCATTACTACTTTTTTCAATTTCGCTTTTTTCATTTCCGGTTAACTATAATTTTATACTTATCCTGGAATTTTTTATTTTTTTTTAAATGACCCTTTAAAATGACGGTATATTTGGACATTTTCCGTGAATAAATTACAAATAATATTATTTATAAACAAATTGCCAAAATAAGCATATATTTAAGCTGGTGAAAAAAGTAAAAACTACACACCCCCCTCCCACCACCTCCAAAAAAAAAAAAAAGAATGAATTTATTTTAGTTTATTTAAAATCCTTTATTTTAACTTCGCTTTTGTTCGTGTATTTCTGTGTTAAAGGCAAAATCATCTTAGGACAGCTAATGGATCCACTTCCCGCTATCCCATCGAAATGAAACTTGGTGCACAGAATTAGAATAGATTCGTTGGTGGCCGCTGTCAATGTTTTCATAATCTTATTCATATTCCATCAAATTTTTAGCCCCAATCCCCGAAATCAGTTTGTCCAGTTTTCAAGGGGAAGATTGAATCGGGAGATGATTTGTTCAATGTTTGTACAACCGCTTCTTGATAAATGATGTTGTTCGTCCGTCAANGGGGTGGGGGGGGAGGGGGTGGGGAGGGGGGATGATACGGTGAGCTCGTAGGTGGCTTGCTAGACCGATCCGTGCACGAAGTAATCTCTGGCACCGCGGGCAGGGGAAAGTTGCTGCAGGCGGTGATTTAATGTTGCTCTTTCGGGCTAGCCTGCGTGTTTCAGCTGTGATTATCGTACTGGCTTCATAGGATTTAGCCCCTTCTTGACAGCTGCTCTCTACCTGGCTCTGTCCTGGGCTGTCTGCACTCATTGAGTAGGGTTGATGCTGAAGGTTTTCAGTGCCGCTTTCAGTGAGTCTTTGTAACGCTTTTTTTAACCTCCTTGGGAGCGCTTGCCTGTCGTGAGTTCTCCGAAGTATATTTGTTCTGGGAGCCGGTCGTCTTCCATACGGGCTACGTGTCCCATCCAACGGAGTTGATACTCGTGAGACTGCATCAGGGTGGGAAGATACTAGATAGATTCGCTCTAGCGAGGACCTCCGTGTTAGGCACTTTGTCTTGCCACCTGATGCCGGGGAGTTTTTTTGAGGCATGTTGTGTGAAAATAGTTCAGTTTCTTGGCGTGACGCTGGTAGACTGTCCACGTTTCACATCCAGAGGGCAATGTTGAGGGGACCGCTGCGCTATAGACCTTGATCTTCGTTTATCGCCTGATACCTCTCCTGTCCCAAACAGTGCTGCGGAGCTTGCCAAATATGGCACTAGCTTTTGCGAGTCTGGCATACATTTCATCATCCACGACGACAGATCTGGAGAGGGTGCTGCCCAAGTTATAATAAATGATAATTCACGTTCAATTACATAAATGCAAACAAAAATGCATATCCAGGATGTATACGACTTTATACGAAAAACTTTTTTAAAGGGCTGTACATAATCAAATCAATTCCCCTCGCTTGCTTTGGCTTTGGTCTAGTAGTGAAACAGCCCCTTATACAAAGTTTTTCGTGTAAATCCTGTATAAAATGAAATATCGAGCAAATTTTTTTTTTTTTGGGGGGGGGGGGGGGGAGTGGGGCTGAAAATTTGACAAAACAGCCACAATTAACGCACTTTATATGAATCCCAATTCCTGATTCCCCCCCTCCCCCCTTAAACCCACAAGTCTCGCTACGGTACATTTTTTAAACGCCCCTGAACTATATAATATTATTAATATTCTAATGAACCACCCACTTTTACACATCAGATTCATTTCACCAATTATTAAAAAAAAAAAAAAAAGAAAATATTACGCACCAAAAGCAATTGCGATATTTTTATTTTAAAAAATCTCGTTTAGCGCATTTATCGGGAATTTTATTTCGTGAAATTTGTGGCATCATATTTCCTTCACCTCCCCTTGCGATTGTTTTTTTTAGGGGTGGGTTCTGGTTCTGGTTGGGTACGTTGTTGAATCCATGTACTGGCATATGTGCAATGGTTGGGGAAGCGACCCTGCTATACTAACTAGGGGTTGGAATGGGGCTGAAAATTTGATAGATTGCATTGTCATCGGAAACGAGTCCATGTACCAAATAAATACAAGCTATTATTATTATTATATTATTAGTGGGTAATTGATTTTGATATGATATCACGTAGGCTATATAATAAAAACAACATAAATCGATATTATAAATTTTGCTAAGAGAACTCAAAAATGAATAAAAAGAAATCCCCTAAGAGTGTTTTTAGTATGACTAAGTGAACTAAGTGAACTAAGTGAACTAAGTGAACTAAGTGAACTAAGTGAGAAGGGAATGACATGGATCTTGTCATCTTAGGAAAACGCACATATTATGGAGAGAGTCCGGTAGGCGGTAGGAAATGGACATAGCTCAATCAATGCCCTACTTAATTAGCGGGGAAATCCCGGAAAAACTCCCGCAACTCTATTGGTGCCAAGCTGTAACATACACACATGATATCCCATGTGTGTTGTCCTTGAGGGTAGCGAGAGATGAATTGCCAAGCTGTAACATACACACATGATATCCCATGTGTGTTGTCCTTGAGGGTAGCGAGAGATGAATTGCCAAGCTGTAACATACACACATGATATCCCATGTGTGTTGTCCTTGAGGGTAGCGAGAGATGAATTGCCAAGCTGTAACATACACACATGATATCCCATGTGTGTTGTCCTTGAGGGTAGCGAGAGATGAATTGCTGTTCAGGGAACAAGCCCATCCTCCTAAAGAAGAGCACAGGCCTTGTGATTTCGTCGTGCAAAGTCTACACCATCGTCACATTGTGACGGACTGATGCCAATAATAATAACAGTTTAAACTTTA